GTGTGTGTGTGTATTTGCATCCCGAGATGGATGCACACATATAAAATTGAAGAAAATCGGCTGTTTTCGCTATTAAAATTAAGTTTTTGTAAATATATCGAAAAACCTCTTTGTTAGGAGGCAATTAGCATTGACCGGAAGTGGCCGTAGCCTATAAAAATGGAGGGAGCGTGCGCTTTTCATTTTTTGGTGAGCGGCATTCGGCAAGCCCTATGTAAAGTCAATTTTCCAGAAGTCCTAGACGGGTCCAGGGTTGAAAAGCCGCGAAGCGGTTTTTCAACCCTGGTTTCTGGTAATTTTTTAGTTTTCTTTGACCTCAGTGCTACATTAATTCCCTCATGATGGAGATGCTCCTCCGGATTTGGTGCTTAACCTCTTGAAATTGGTGCTGTCCGGAGCCGGCCCAGATTTTTAGTTTAACCTGCTGACGCAATCTTTTTTCTGCCTGGTTTTTAAAGTAAGCCTTTTGCCAGTGTTGACGCATCCATTAGCATATGGAGATGACGGGTTTCTGGGTTGGTGAACGCCTTGAACTTGTCGGAACCGGCTCCAGGATGTTTATTGGTATTTGAACGCTTTTAGCGTAACAAATAAACTATTGTAAAAATTTTTGAGACTCTGGAAACAAGAGTAAATATAGAAAAATCTAATTAAATATGCAAAATGCTCCTGCTTAGAACTTGCAACGTTCCAAAAATTATTTTTTTGGGAATTTTTGTTCAAAAAACTTTTGCTCTTCTAAATTTCAGCAATTCTCTAATTTCCGACCTGCTCCAAATGTCCCAGACAAATTTCTCCCGAATTTTCAGAAATCATTAGATCCCCCGAGGAGCCGGAATTTTGCCCACGCTAATTAAGCGGAAAGCGCAACCTGGCCGGGGGAGGTAATTGGCTACATTTCCCCAGGGCCTTTATTTTCCGATTCGATGGGCCACGACGCAAAAAATGGTCTCAGGTGGCCCCCCATTTTGAAAGGCACCCAAAAAGGGCGGCGAGTTGGAGACGGTCACTGGGGCAACCGACCGGCAACACAGGCAAAAGCCGCTTCAGGTGAAGATTACGGCCGACCCACTTTCCTGGCGCGAATCTTCATTTCTAAAGGCACGGCTGGAAAACTACCGTACTTCCGACTACGCGACGCACCTCTGAACGCCTCGGGATGCGAAGCCTTATATGTATCATTGCCCTTGTTGGGCTCGTGGGAGGTAGGGTTTTTGTTTTTGCAGCTTCCACTACCTTAGTTTTCTTACTCGATACCGTATCGGTATTCACTTCGGCTTTTGAAATTCGAATTTATGGTTATGAAATTTATGCGCTACTGAACACCGCTTTTTATATCGTAGTTTTTTGAGTATAGTACTATGCCGTATGGGCCGGACCGACATGGTTTTAGTCGAAAGTAAAAAACGTTCCTAATTTTTAAACGAAGCTTACTAATCTGGATTGGCATTGCCTAAATTGGGATGCACTTTCAATGTTTTAAAATAGCGTCCAGCTACCGTATTCCGTCAAGGTATACCGTATCCGTATTCCAACGTACTTGAAAGGTGTCCTTTACAAGTACCGACACGACAACCTGCTTTTGGTGCAGTGTTTACTACTCAAGATCAGGATTTTTTCAATGAGCCTACGATTCGAATTCACTATTAAACAGCTTTTCTACCATATTTTTCATGGAATACCGTAACCATATGCAGTCGTACCTTAAACATTTCATGCGGACGTAATAAAAATCGCGATTTGGCGAGGTGCGTACTCATCCGGAACTGTACTGCCAGAAGCAGAATACGATAGGAAAGCACTATAATTCGCATACGATTTGAACAGTTTTTTACCGTAGTTTTCCGACAAGAATTGCAGTCCTCCTGATGTAGCTCTCCTCCACAGTAATTCGTCAATAAGCGCCGTATCCGTATTCAAACGTACTAGAAACGTGCCACGCTGAAGAAAGGTCCATATTTTGACACGGTGCCAACCACTCCGAAATCAAATTTTTTCCATACAGTAATACCGTTTTCCAGCCGACTCAATTATTCTGGAAAACGGATGTCCGGGTGACAACCCGAAGAAGGTATGCCGGATTGAGCTGGAGACGTTGAAGGGAGCGCCGGGAGGGGATTGCCCATTGTTTTCGACTCCGGAACGGTGAGTGTTCTGGAGAGAGAGAAAGAGAGGGAGAGAGTGAGAAAGAGAGGGGGCGAGGAGAGAGGGAGAGAGATCGGGATAGAACGTACGTAATACACCACGCAACACTCCTTTCATCCTTAATCCCCTGGATTTGGGAAATGCATAATCGGACCGAAACTGAGATTCAAGAATTGCTGGAAATCAAACATTTGAACTACGGCAGGAATACAAAATTGCGTAATACAGTTTCGATAGCATATTCCATTACCAGTATCCTCACGAAAAATTCAATTGAATTTTAGTTCATGCTCGGCCAACTCAAACCCGGAAGAATTAGCTACCGTACCACCAATTGTCGAGGCGTCTACCCCCGAGGGAATGGTTCGTAACTTCAAAAACCATGAAATTAAATTTTAAGACCACCGGCCGTACGGTAGAACAGGACGAAAACGTGACCATCATCACCTGGACCGGGAACAATGCCAATGGGACCACGATTCTGAATGCGACCAGTATTTGGAGCCGACCGCCTGGGAATATTACGGTAAGTTTGGTAGATAGGTTACGATATGAAACCTCCCAAAAACCCTTCCGGAAAACCAAAAAAAAAATCCTTGGTTTTTTTAAAATAAAAAAAAAAAAAATTTTTTTTTTTTTTGGTGGGGGGCGAAAGGGAAAAAATATTGCCCTTCCCAATTTGGGGGAAAAAGGAAAAAAAAATGGAAAAAAAAAAAAAATTTTTAAATTGGGGGTTTGCCGGGGGAAGAGGAAAATAGAGGGAACCCCAAAAAAATAAAAAAAAAAAGGGGAAATAAGATTATAAGATTGTTAGCCCCGGACGAATTTTTTTGGGGGTTTTTTGTCGGGAGGACGATGGGTGGGGTTTTTTTTGGGACTTTATATACAATCAAAGAACTACGATAAAAATTACTAACGCATCCTTTTAGATAGCCACAGTCTCCAAAAAAGCCCTGCCAAAGGACGAGGAACTCCAAAAAGCGACCTGTGTCTGCAAGCCGACCGGAATCGATGTGAACGCCAAGGCAGCGAATCAATCTTTGGTAGGCCTGATCAAATTTAGGAATCATGAACCCTTATTCTCAGTATTCACTTAAGAAGCTTAAACGGGTTTCTAAGCCCAAGCCAAGCAGCAGCAGTCTAGTGAAGCTGATTTTTGCAGATCACAGCCCTGCTCTCTAACGCCGGAAACCGGAAAAAGCGTGATCTTGACACTGACGAAGAAGCGTCTGGACTATTGAAAGTCATCAAAGCCGCCCAGGAACATGTTGATCAACACCTGGAGGAAGTAGATGGGGTTGGTCCGGGGTTGATGACGATCAGAAAATCCCTAAAAAGATCTACAAGTCCTAAAATCGACTCTTGTAGCCGCCTTGGCGTTGGCAACTTCGCACTTTGCCAAAAATGTTTGACTCAATTTGATAGCTATAAGCCGCGCAAATCCGAGCAAATATCTAGCTGCTTAAAAACGGATCGTGTGTTTTGGAGTGTAGCGTAGTTGTTGAGACCTGGTCGACAGTAGGGGTTGATTCTGGCACTAGACTGTGTAATTTCCAGTTAGCATTCACATTGGCTTAAGGGCTTAGGAAAAAAGGCAAAAAGGTATCTAAAAGCCGTAACTTGCAGTGTCTCGTAGCTGTCCAAACCCAGTCGTTGTAAGGGGTTGACTAATTTGTAAGTAGCCATTTTAAAGTTGATAAAGATCCTAAAGGCGCTTTTTCACAGAGCGTTTTCCGCTACGCAGGTTGTCGACGCCCAGCAATTCAAACGGGTCGATCCTTCAACTTTATCCCTTCGTAACCCCAAATTCCAGGTCCGCCCAAAACGCATGATGAACGTAGAAGACGCACTAGCCCAATCCCCATACGACGCAGATGGCCAAGTGAACGTGACGAAGCACCAGCCGAAAAAGCCGATGCGATTCCAGAGGAGCCCTTTTACGGAAGAAGCACAGGAGCTGGCGTCTGAGTCCGAAGCTACCGAAGCTTCTCAAGTCCCGGAAGCCGTTGAAGCGCATCAGACTACGGTAACCGCCGCGACCTCTGAAGCTACGGAGGCCATGCGCCGAAAGCGGGAAGCCGAGTCGTACCTCATCGATTTTGAGCCCGAGGTTAATGAGGTTTTGGAGGAACCGAGCTCTGGTGCACCGAGAGCAAAGCGCGAGGTCGAAATGACTGAAAATCCAGATGAAGTCACTTCTGAAGTTTCAAAAGCTAAACGTTGCGCTGAAGCTAAGAAAGCGGAAGTCCAAGAGGGTACATCTGAAGCTCCAAAAGTGAAGCGGGAAGCTGTCGATGAGATTGAAAGCACCACTCCCAAGCCCGAAGAAGCGACTTCTGTAGCTTCGAGGTCGAAACGGGAAGCTGTGGATGAACTTGCTAGCCCCACTACCGACCCGGCAGCTGCGACATCTGAAGCTCCAAAAGCCAAGCGTGAAACTGAAGATGAACTAGAGAGCACCACCCCCAATCCTCAGGCAGCCACTTCAGAAGTTTCAAAAGCCAAACGTGGAGCTGAGGCCGCAATTGAAGCGGCTACCGAAAAGCCTGACGAAGCCACTCCGGAAACTCTAAAAACCAAGCGTTGCGCCGAAGCTCCGAAAGCTGATGCTAACCAAGGTACTTCTGAAGCCCCAAGAGCCAAGCTTCAAGCTGAAAGTGAAGCTACTGAAGCTACGACCGAAATACCAAGAGCCAAGCGGGAAGACGATGCTGAGAAATCCGAAGCTACTATAGCTGATGCTCCTCAGACCACTTCTGAAGCCCTAAAAGCCAAGCGCCAAGCCGAGGATGAAGTCAGTGAAGCGATAAAAGCAGCTACGACGGAAATACCAAGGGCCAAGCGGGAGGATGAAGCTGGAAAATCTGAAGCCACCGCTACCCTCGTTACCTCGATTTCTCCGAAGAAAGAAACGGCTTCTGACGCAAATTTATCTACGTCGACGACGCTTAGTTCAGATTCTGCAGCCAATATCGTAGCTTTGAATGCTACCCTAGTCGAAGTCGAAATCCCTCCAATCAAACGCTCAGCTCCGAACGCTACTATTGACGAGCCATGGGCAAGCGATGACGAAATTCCGGTTCAGGTTGTCGAAAACCCTAACTTTGAAACCGTACACGAACCCAGTGTTGATAATTCGACTACGGTAACTTTGAACGTTACGGTACGTATGGAAAATTCTACCGTAGTCCAGGGCTCGACTCCTTCTTCATAATTCGACAAGAATCGAGGAGGTTACGGTAGCCGGAACAACTACGATAACTACTAAAAACGATGGAACTAACAAAAATGAGAAAATTACGCCACACAATTCCACCGTAACTACCGTACCCCCAGTGCAAGACCCGATTGCTGAGATTCTGAATAGCAACCAGACTACCGTAGTCGAGGGGCATGAAGCAGCCATTTTGGAAACGGAAAATCTCCAACACGCTAAAAGAGAGGTAGAAAATGCTCCAGCCAACGTGGTACCCGAGGATGACGTCACTGGTGCTCCAGAGGAGGAGAAGAAGATTCAGAAGCGCTCGGCCCAATTCAAGCCAGAAGCCAACTGGCGTGACAATGTCCTCATGCCAAAATAATCGTACCTGAAGGAATTTTGCAAATTTGATTTGGTTTTTCTGGTCATGACTCGTTTTTTAGCAAAACTCTGGTATCTTTCTGACCTATTTTGAGCTGTCTACCACAATTTTATAATACCAATTAATTTTAAACGGTCTTGCTGGTTTTTTTAATTCTTACCCTTTTCTATGAAGTTAAATTCAAGGTGTAAATAAAGTTGTTAGTAAAAGGATGGATTTTTTGAAATGCATGCAAGACACAATCGAGGATAAGAATTTAATAAATCAGAGGAAATTTCTAAAAGTTATTTGTGAAGTTTTGAATCACATAAATTTAGCAAACACAGACCAAGGAAGTAATCAGCAAAACATTATGTAGGTATTGACGCAATGTTTCTTTTCAAACCATGAAAACTATTGAGAAGCCGACTTATTTTATTAAATTTTTTAAAGAAGTATTTTGAAATTTTGGTATGCTTGAAAATCTTCTTAAGAAATTTAATGGGCAACAAACGTAAAAATGTTGTAGTTTAATGGGGAATCCAAAATTCCAGCCTCCAACCCGTGATACGTCATTACCGAGCGCATACCCCAGCTAAATCCCCCGAAAATTGGATGCTGACACATTTTTCAAACCCCGCTTTGAATGAGTCATTTTACACAAAATTTCACTATATATACAACAAAATTCTAACATTTAAACCGCCACGGTCTCTACTCCAGCTTGTATCTCACATTATGAAACTACAGCGCTTTTGCGCCGCTATAATTTCTACGCTTCTTTACACCGATTGTAATACGGAATTTCTGTTCCCGCTGGATCAACAAAATAATATAACTGGTAGGTTTTATTATTTAAGATATTTAATTTACTGATCAAAAATGGAGGAAATATTAAATACCGGAAAGAGTGAGAAGGAAAGTGGGAAATACAAGAAAAAAAAAAATCAGCAGATCATCATTAAGTACAGGAAAAGCCAGGCAGTTCTTTTTTCAATATCTTTTTCAATAGTTTAAATTAATTATAAAATCTGAGAATCTTATTTAAATTGCGTGAAAATCGTGAAAAATCGAGTGACGGGACGGGTGGTTGGCCGGGGCAGGGCTGCGGTAGCGGAACGATGCGTATTCGCACGCTGCGGGACCACCCATCCAGTCAGGTAGGGGGCGCGCTAAGGACCTCGGGCAGAATTTTCTCGTTGCTCAAGTCGGCATAACATCGTATTACCACACAACTAAATTTTTAGCAAACAACGATTCCAAAAGCTAACTAAAATCCTACCGCTTGAAAAATTACTCGTTTCTGAAAATCTATTAGAATCCAGGTTTCTGATAGATGCTGCTAATTTTAAAACATTTTGTCTTTTTTTCTCTTTCTCTTCTTTAAAGCGCGAATATGCAACAATAAAACAAGTTAAAATTTTACTACGTTATAAAACCCATCGGTATCATCATATTACTGTCTTTTGAAAAATGAAAATATAGATTGAAAGGTATTTTATTTTGATTTTTATCATTAATACGATAATTAAATGTCAATTTAATTCTAGTCTTAAAAAGGTTGAAGTTTCTACTAGAGGGCTATGAAAACGGCTGGAAAAGAGTTATACTTGCACTGACTATAAATTAAACGCTAAAGTAAGTAGTATACAAAAGTAAGTTGAAAACACTTTGTAAACTCAAAACATGACGCATCCAACCTCCCTCCTTTTCAGACTTCTTGAGCCTGAACTTCACATCTCGAGTGCTTCGACTGACCGACATCCTTGAGAAGACCTACCAACGAGACGGCACCGCCAACCTAACCCGATTCGACGAGCAGAAGCTGCAAAAACTCGACGAGTTCCGCGAGAAATTTCTCGAAAAATTCACCCCCACCGACTCACCGCCCACTTTGTGCCAAATTCTAAGCAAACTTTGTGATAAGATCCACAGGAAGGGTACGGTGGAATAAATCTTATGGATTTTTGGGATTTCTGGATCTCTGTGTAAAAAAACTTTTGGGTCTTATACAATTTTTTAAAATTCGTGGCGTTTTCCGACGCGAGTTCACGTTCTCTCGTTTATCTTTCACGAATTAAAACTCGAAAAGCATTCTTATTAGCTTTTTTTGCCAATTTGTAATGTTTTAAGTGCATTTTTGGCAATTTTGATCACTTTCTGGATATTTTGAAACGTATTTAGGCCAATTTCAACTGCAATTCTTGATTTCTGTGGTTCTTAAGCTGTATATTTTCTACGTTTCATTAGAATTAGATTAGGCAGGAAAAGCGCCTGTAATCGACTTTTTCCAATTTTTCATCCTTCAAAGTAAATTACCTTTGTTATAGTTATGAAACCGTGAAAACCGGTTTCTTGATCTCTATGGTTAGACAAGTAGCCACAACCTATTAAAAGTTCAATAATCTTCTATATATAAATTTCTATTGTTTCTAATGTAACTTTCTAAAAACCCTTGATTTTCGAACTCTTGACCGCTTCTAAAAATTGCACCTGTATGTTGCGGGGGACGGGGCCCGAACCTTTTCCCTAAATTCTATTTGTAACCCGATTTCCCGGAGGTAATCCGGCACGAGCGCCGAATTACGGTCATTTTCGGAATTTGGGGAATTTGCGGCCGCTTGGGGATAGCGTCATCAGTTGTATATTGTACGATCGGTACCACGCGTTGTGGTGTATTTTGAGACGCGAAATATCCTACGTGCATCGCATACTTTTTAACCCCTGGATTTTTGGCTTTAAAGGGACTAGGAAGCTTGAGAATCGACGCTCTCGCCCGACTAGGTCTCGACAGAGATGAGCTAAGCTTAGCCGCAAATAACTTTTGCCCTTTTTGCATGAATTTACTGTTTTATTGCTCCAAAATCAGCATGTATCCGTTTTTCGCGGGTCAAGCGGCTGTCGACATCGATTCAATCAAAAGGACCGATTTTTGCGCTTGCAAACACTTTTAAATCGCCATCGGATGGCTAGAATGACGCTTTTAAATGTACGTTTTGACAACTTGCAAATGACATGAAGCGGATGAACCAATGCAGGCTAACGAACGAATCTATGATTTAAGAATTCTACATGCGTCTTTTAGCAATTTACACGCGACTTTTGGTCCCGGAAGTTTCCTTACTATTTCCGGTGCCTCTAAAACAACACTTTCGCGCTGAAGACCGCTTGATTGCAAATTTTCCGCTCAGGCTCGTTTTTACGGGTTGCTAATGGCATACGAAAGGTGCAGTCAAGCATAGCAACTCCGGGGATATTTATGGAAAGGAGGAAGACACACTAGCATTCTAGATTAATTTTTTAATAAGCTAGCCCTTTTTCTTACATAACTTTTGCATTACCGGATGGTTACAGTCGCTTCGCGACTGCAACCATCTGGCCTTCGGGCTACCCTACATGTCCCACTCCACCACATCCTTTCCGTTCTCCATAAATACCCCCCATAGCCGAAAACCCCGTCCAAAACTACCTAAATACCTTCCTGATGGCTTCAGATATCCCCCATGGCTGAAATCCCCTTCAAAACTACCTAAATACCTTCCTGATGGCTTCAGATATCCCCCATGGCTGAAATCCCCTTCAAAAACTACCTAAATACCTTCCTGATGGCTTTAGATACTTTAAATAATTTAAATAATTAATTAACATAATTAAAAAGTATTAAAAAGTATTAAAGTAACTTAAGAAAGCGATCTGGGCGCGCAAGAGGCCTGGGGAAGAGGGGCGAGGGGAAAGGGGGCGTGGCCTCCCGGGAGAGGGGCCCCCACTCGTTTTATTAAGGCATCACTTTCAAAGTTAAATTTAATAATTTAAACTAAAACTTTTTCATAATTTTTTTATCAATTTGGGGGTTTCTGACGGCGCTCTATCCGAATCCGAAGAGAGCTAAGCTCTAGCTCCTTTCCCCTTCGAGTTGAATTCGGCTTCAGACGGACGGACGGACAGAGACCACAGCAAAATTATTATAGTTGATCGGAGGGGTGCGTGAAGTAGAATTTTCTTTTGCTTTTTCTTTCTAAACTAATTTCGGCTTCCTGGGCGTTTCATTGTGCAAATCGTAGCTCACCTGCCTCCATTCTGATCCGATAATGACGAATCTTTTTCTCACCAAAAAATTCTGAACTTGCTGCCTTTGTTTTTCGAACTTTTTTGCAGCTGGCACCCCCTCTAATGTCATAAGAAATTCAGGAACCCACCTGATGCCCCGATGGGGCATAATTGGCAAGAGGGGGACGCGATGAATTGTGGATTGATAGAGCCGGGTTTTCCTTTTCTCTTCGGGCTCCTTTCTTGCCTCTTCAATCTTCCCGGTCGACCTCATCTGAATACACTAATGAAGTCGAGGAGTCAGGGGAAGGAAAAATGGCAAGTTCAAGACACAGGCGAATAGGTGTTGTTGGGTTCAAGAAGAGAATTTGGATTTGATTCTTAATTAATTAGAAGCCGCCTTGGATTGTTTTGCTCATCTGTATCCCTCTTTCTCTCTATTCCTCTCACACAATCGTTATCTCTCTCTCTCTCGCTCTCTCTCTTTCTCTCTATCTCTGTCTCTCTCTCCCTCTCGCATTAGGCCTTTCTATCTCCCGACATGCTAAATCTCATTTCTCTTTCTGTCTCACTCACTCTATCTATCTTTCTTCTTATCTATTTTTCTCTCTCGCGCTCTCTCGCTCTCTTGATCTCTGTTCTCGCTCTCTAGCTCGCTCGCTCTCTCTCTCTCTCTCTCTCTCTCTCTCTCTCTCCCTCTTTCTTACTCGCTCTCTCACTCTCTATCTCTCTCGCTCTCTCGCTCTCCCTCTTTTTCTCGCTCTCCCGCCTAATTCTCGGGAGTCTGACCCCTTCTAGGCCTTTAAGTTATATGCAAGGCTGGGCTACAAATCTGGTGGTCATGCTTCCACGCCGAATTTTACAGCACCGCGATCCGCAAGCCACACTTCCGTTGCGTAGCAGATCACCAGCTTATCTAGAGGCTCTTATCCTAAAATTGAGGCTAATTTCAGGCATTTAATAAACCTAAGTTTGGTTATTCAATAAACAGTTTCTACTAGAAATTTACAAGTCCTCTCCATCTCACCCAAGGCCCCGATGATGAAGCGGTGGCCGGCACGAGATATCCCCTTTAGAACCCTAACACTTCCTCTCTCTTTGGACAATCATCTGAGGGGCGCAATTTTAATTAGACGAAGCCGCCTCCTGGTGGTCAACCCCCCCACGCACGTGTGGATTATAATTGGGATGGGCCCCTTGGACTATTGGACTCACTCGAACCAAAAAAAATGCTGTCGGATGACGCTTCTTGGAGTACGGTAAAGAGGAAAGGATTTTTTCTTGTTCTTAAACCTAACTTCTGATCGCACTCTATGATACCTTGCGTTTACTATACTTTTAAAGGATCCACAGTCCACGTCAGTGAATTTATCTATCCTCTGAACTTTGCCGCGAATGCGAGACGCGATGCGTGGCAACCGCAACGCGCGCAGCTATTCCGGAATTGTGAACGGATCGTAATCCGGTACACCATTGTATTCAGGCGTACGCGCCGCGCGAGTTCTGGCCGCTATAACTTTATAGCGCTTCCACGGCCTGAGAATCTAGAGGCTTGCCTTGCCGGTTCCTTTAAAACGTCCGTCTCGTGAAATTTTGTGACCGGAAGTACTTCAAGATGGCGAAAATCTTCTAAAAATCCTGATCCAACCCACTCACCCCCAAAATCTGGAGGGTTTATCGAGCAGCTAAACTTTTTCGGGGAAGTTCAATTTGCGGATTATCGAGGCTAAGTAAACATTCACCTGCCTCTTGCTCGGTCCGGAGCGATTCCGCTTTCAGGCCAAGTAGAATAGGTGTACTTGATGCTGTATTTGGCTCTCTCTCGCGCTCTCTCTCTCTCTCTCTCGCCTGCTAGCTTTCTTTCGTTAACTCCCTTTTGCTGTAGTTCACCCCTTCTCTCTCCCTGTCTCTGCCGCAGTCTCTCTCTTTCTCCCTCCCTCTCTTTCTCTCTCTCGCTCTCTCTTGTTCTCGCTCCTTCCCTCTCTTCCTAAGTATCTTTCTGACTCGTTTCACTTTAAGCACACCACAATTTCGCAAATATTTTCCTGAAACCCGATCCGCAAATCTCGAGGAACCCCATTCTGCTCCATGCCTATCAAAGGAAAGAAGGCTCAGCATCCCGTATTCTAAAAGAAGCTCCGTAAAAACAGCCTCCACCCGGAATCCACTACAGCGCCCTTCGAAATTATTTATTCCGTCAGCGCAAACGCTTCGGCGGCCACCCCTTTTTTCTCATCAACGGGCACGCGTTTTTAATGTATCCAATGAGCATTTATCTCGAAGGATCCCCCGGGGGCTCACGCAGACGAGTTGCTGCACTTCTTCTGAAGCTCTCTCTCACTCTCTCTCTCTCTTTCTCTCTCTCGCTCTCCTTCTCTCTCTCTCTCTCTCTCTCTCTCTCTCTCGCTCTCTTTCTCTCTCTCTCTCTTTGTATCTTCCCCTCGAAAAGCCCTTTATTCCCCCGCGTAAATATGTTGTTCGTGAGGACGGATTTCGGGACGTCTTCAGGGACCGTCCCGAATTGTCACTGAATAGAACCGTCCATTCGTAAAAAACGGAATTTCACGAAATCCCCCATCACATCACACACCAAACAATAGGACATCCCCGGTGCCCCCGTGGTTACGGTAGCCCGCACTAATTACAGACAGTCGGTTTTTTGAAAACAGTCGTCCAGTTCGAAATCGGTGGTTGGGGTGAGGGTGGGGGTTTTGTAAATGGTGGTTATTGTCGGGTTCCAGGTTGTAATTGGTGGTGTTGTATACGGTAGCTAATGATTTAGGCCCTGAATCTCATAGTATAATGGTGTTAAAATATTTTGTCAGATAGTTTGCCATATATTTGCATAATATCACTGTTTGGTCACCCTGCTTATTGCCATAGAGGTGTACAATAATTCAGTAC